ATTTCTGTGAAGAAAAGTAAATGGAAAGTAAATTGTCTAATAGAATAATGGCCAAGTGTCAAGTATAAAAATTCCCTAAATGGGGAAAAATGTATCCAGATCACTTGTTTTTCACATAGTTGTTGTAGTTAACGAGTTGATTGTTGGGTTCATTGTACAGTTTTAAATACAATATGAAATGCCCATAAAATATGTCTCTTAGTCAGGGGTCATCAGTTTACTTAATAATAGACACAAAAAAAAAAATTATTCTAATAAGGGACAACAAGCCTGTCTGACTGCTGATAAATGGAAGAGAAATGAAGGGATATAGAGATACTCAAGAATGTTTGGTTATATTTGACATATAGACAAAACACTGCAGGGACACAGGATAAGAATGTGGGAAATGTCATTTTTATTTCACTAAAAGAAATCCAGACTCCACTCAGTCAGAGGCTTTAGTACACCACCATGAATGTGTCGTCTGCGTGTAAACTGGAAATGAATCAATCCCTGTTTCCTTTTCTACCAGCACTTTCTGTTGTTGTCAGATTAATGTGCTACAATTTCCTTCTCTCTTGGCTTTCTCTGCAGTCTTCCTTAAACAAGGCCGTGCTGACTCGACAGGCAGCCTGTTAAATCCAGACTGCTTGGACAGATTTAGTGCTCCACTGGAACATCTGAATCTGCTTTTTAAGGAACACTTTTGGTGTTATAGCTGCCTCTGGAGCCAAAAGCACCAGTTCTTTAAAACTTAAAGACAACATTTGGTACTCACTCTAATCAAGTCATCGTTTTTCTCGTCAGATTTTGTTAACTTGCTCAGACTTCTTTAAGTTGAAGCCATGTTAAATTCTAGATAAGTTAGTGTAAGATGTGGTTGATTTTTCATACTTCAGTAGCATGCCTTTGCATTAGCTTCCTACTGTCTATCCTCTCCTTTACACTGGACTTTTTGACTCCTCCCATTGTTGTTTAACTTGACCAATGACATTTCTGCCTCCTGAAATCATTTCTATGACTCCAGCCTCTACTGCCACAGTGCTACCGAGGTGCTATTGAGAGAAATCTGCCGTTAAATGGAGAGTTGACGGGCTGAGGCTTTGACTTATTGTCGCCTCTAAACAAACAGCTATTACCTGGGAAAAACTGACTATATTGATGTGTGCTGACTGAGTGGAACCCAAGTTCACAGATTGGCTTTTGAGTGTGTCTGCGCCTGTTGGTGTGTGCTTGTCATTTTCACTTTCTGGTTGCACGGCTCCCTGCCTCTCGTGCTATCTTGAGATCTGCTTTTATGCCATAAAAGTGTGATTCGCTTTGTCAAGTCCTCTGCAACACACACACACACACACACACACAATGGGACCCTCTCGGTGCCTCTGTTGGTGCAATAATGTGCCTTCACTGATGAGATGGCGAGGGAGACAGGAGAGAGACAGATCAAAAGAGAAAGGGGAGAGAAATCCTAGGATAGACATTTGGGAAAGTTCTGATAGAACACCGTTTCATATCTGATACGCTCTACCATGATGCTAAAGGTGGAACGGTAGTAAAGGCAGTTATTATGAGGTATATTAGAAACATGATGATTGTCACATGTGAAAACTGTGTTTTTTGTAAAGTACACGTTACTCTTTGTTACTTTAACCTGTTGAACCCGACGGACCCGTACAGGGTCGTCTCCTTTTTTTCTTGGGAGGCTTACATGTTTTACTGCTGTAAAAAGTTTAATAAAAACGTGTGTGTTTTTTTTCTTTTTTCAAATGTTACCAAAGACGAGCTTTACTTCCAAAACGCAGTCCAAGTGTATTTTTCTTCAAACACGTTTTGTTTGGAATAATGTAACCAATGAACTAAAAAAAGAAAGCTCTGTTGAACTATAAGGGCAGTGGAATGAAACGCAGCAAGATACACATTATATTCGCCTCGCTCATTAGTATGTTTAGGTTCAAAGAAACTGGAAGCTCATCTTCTGCTTGAATACCAAGCAAAATAATCCGCCTAACCAGCTCAGTCGCAGCGAAGCAAGACGCAGAAACTTAGCGTTTTATCGTAATGTGAAATTCTGTGTTTATGTCTCAATTATTCCATCAAATAACAAAAGCAATTGTAATCAACAGCGAATATTGTTTCCTTACCTTTCTTGGTCATTTTGAGTGTTATCCGTGTACAGTTATCCGATCAAATAGACCCATGGTAGGCCGAGATTGCAGAGACAGCATCCCTGCTGCTCGTTTCAAAACGTCTTTGCTTCACCTATTGGTCGTGTGTTGGTATTTCAGGTTATGGCACTGCAAGTGATATTCTAATATCGCGAGGCTTTCACGAGGTATCACACTACATTTGTACTATAAGTAACCAGGTAGATTTCATGCGTAACCGTTGTTGACACAGGGTCTTTGCATTACGCCGAGCACTTTCAAGTATTGTGTTTTGGTTAGTTTAGGTTTTTGCGATGGGCTGGAGCAAAACAAAACGATACATATGGGGGCTGGCAATCCAGATTAGCTTAGCGCGCTAGTAAAGGGCTAGGCACAAAATGGCGGCCCTTCTTTGGAGTTTGTTTTCTGTTGACTTGCGTTTTGTCGGTTGTTTTTCACAAAATTGATATTTTACTTATTTATTTCATGGTTAGTGATTCTGTTACTTATTTAGTAGCTGAAAACATTTATTTTTTTTTCCCTACGTCTCACTTTGATCAGCTTGATCTGTTTAAAGGGACGATCGACAAGTGATGGCGGGTTTTTTTTTCCTTGACCTTTCAAATCTGATATTTTACTGTTTTTTTATTAATTCATTTGGAGACAAAAACAGTTTGTTGGTTGTTATTTAAAAATTTATTCTTATTACTGTGTACAATGGTGTAGTTGATGGGCCACAAGGTTAAATTCATATCAAAAGTCAGTAAATGGAATAGCTCGTGTAATGGACATAATTGTATTTTCCAGCCAGTTTCTTTTGAAGTGGAAAATAACTATTTGGAATTTTTGGTTCCAAACTGTGCAAATGGTGCCAAATGAATGTCGCCTGGTCTATCTTACAACCTTTGTGGAGCTTTGCCCTTTGTCAATTCTATCAAATTTGGTAATTTGTAGTCAAGGAGTTGATGAGGTGATCAGTGGCATCTGTTGTGCATGGAATTATTTGTTAGCATGTATTATCTCTGTTCAATAGGGAAAAATAGGGAGGATTAGAAATTTCACATTTTCCTTTGCTTTTATCCAATTTATCAGGGTTATTATACTGCACTGGAATCTTCTGAGGTCCCTGATGTTCCAGCACAAGAATCATATGAACCTAAGAATTGTTGAGCAATATTAATTTAATTTGGGTATGTCTTTTTGGCTTTTTTTCTGAAATATGGCTAGGGTTTAACAGGTTAATAGTTGGTAGAGTCAGCTTGTTTGCTCTCTTGCCAGAGGAATACTCTGTTAACACAGAATGTGTCTCATTTACATGCTGTGTTTTTTTAGGTGCTAGCTAGCCACTGGTAAGCCGACATTCTGGAATCAGTTGGTTTTATTCAGACTTAGAGGGTGTGTAAACCTCACACCTTCACTGGCTTTAACCTGAGTTTAACCTGACCGTTTGTTACACAGAACCACCTGGAGCAGAAAAGTCGTAGTTGGAAACCTTTTGAAAAAGTGTAGGCACTAAAAGACCTACAAAAGAAAAACAAAAAAAAAATAACTGATGATTGGATGAACCATCTGTCTGTCAGCGTCTATTACAAGCGAACTTCCACCAATCAGATCAATGAACCATATAACAGTCAAACTCTTACTGAAGTCAGACAGGAGTAGAGTGAAAACATCTTTTCCATAGAGAAAAGCCTTCAGTGCCGTTCTTTGATCTTCTTTCAATGAGAAATACTCTCCAGTTCTGATAGAATTGGTGCTAGCAACCTCTTTAACAGCTGCCATTGTTGTTTTAGTCACTTTAAACTGTCACTTTTCACACACACCTAGTTTTAGGGGTTGTAAGAAAATATCGTATGGTGATATTTTATTTTGTGAGATTGTATCAATTCTCAAGAACACTTGAATTTTGTGGTTAAACCCCCAACCGCTGGATAGTAGTGTTGTAAATGTAAACTGATAGCTATGATGTTGATGTCACAGCGACTGTGATAAATACAAATCCCACTGTCCTGGTTGCATAATAAAGTACGTTTCTTTTTGCTCAGATGTTATGCTATACTATGACAGTTTTCCTAAAATTATATATATTTTTTTTAATTAAATGGCAATATATCACGTTGCTTACAATATCCTAATATATCACAATATAATGAATCATAACCTCTGTATCATGATACATATCATATTGCCAGATTGTTGCCAATACTCAGGCCTACCCAGTGTTAAACTACGCCTATCTCATGACATAGCTGCCAGTAGTTCTTCAAAGGTCGCTGATTGGTCCAAACCAAGGTTTTGGCTAAGCTAGCTGTTGAAGGTAATAGCTCCAATCTGTAGCCTGGCTGCTTGTTTAATTAGGACGTCTCTAAATGCAGAAAATGTAACGTGTTTGTTTGAAAGCTTTGGATTTGTTGGAAGTAACGTTTGACAGAACTGAGCGGAGTAACAGATAATAATGTAATGAGTCCTGTAGGCCAGAGTAGTTATTGGGATGATGTCACTTTGTCGAAGGAAATGTTTTGACTCATGAAGAGGGACGTGGAGAGAAGTGTCACTCTCAGCCCTTTCAGTATCGAGAGGCCATTAGAGACACTGTTGCTGTATTTATGAGTGCTGCTCAGGTTTAAAAGGCTTTTTCTCCTCAGGATTCTTCAAACCAAATAGGTTGTACAACATGTCATCAGAACATGTTGATGGCAAAGGTCTTGGCCAATCACTCAGTAGTGGGTGTGGATGTCTGATTTTCTCCATGTTATTAGAGAGTGGTTTTCAGATGCTTTTAGACTAAGATTGGACGTAGATTAAAGAAACATTTTTAAGATGATGATGATAATGATCATGATGGTGCTGGTGGTGGTGTGTCTTCTCTTTCAGTGCCTGGCCGTGTGGGAGTCGTTCCTCCTGTCTCAGAGGCTGGAGCCCGGTGCACAGAGAGATGGGGAAGACGCCTGTTAAAGTGTGGAGATGATTGAAACGTGGAGGTCGCCTGATCAACATAGAGCACACCTTCTGTCATCTGTCCAACACATCTACAATCTAGACTTTAAACCAGTGTCCACTTATGCAAACATGCATCATGTACGAAACAAGCACACTCTTTCTGTCTCTCTCTCTGTCTCTTTTTCTTGCTGTCTGGCCAAAGAGGATAATCCCAGTCTTACCATTCCAGTGATGATTGTGCATCACTAAAACCAACACTGTGATCCAAATAGTGTTTACACACCTCTGTGCCAAAAGTAAAAAAGAAGACTTTTGGTTCTTCTGGCTCCACTTTGCTTTCTTGTTGTGCTAGACAACTTTGTGGCACTGTAAAAAATTCCCTCCATGTGTGGAGAACAGCTGTGTCCAATCAGGGGATGCCTCCTTGAAAGAATGCCAAGATGTGGCGCAATGAGTCCTCACCTCAGAGAAACCCAAACTAATGATGCATTCAGACCCTCTTCAACTCCATTAATTGGAATTTTCCACCTTACCATCAGAAAGTTGTACTCAGTTGACAGAATAACTGGTCGATTCCACCGGGCATGGCTGCAATGCGTTATGGTGTCGGCCGCTGGAGCTGTATCACTGCCGTTCTAGACAACGCTTGTGATTCCACCAGAAGCAGCTCTCCACAGATAATTTGCTATTTTTGACGGAAGCGGCGTCAAGCAGTACAGAGTAGATCTAACTGGCACGAAGTCAGATACAAAAGGCGTAGAGAATCCAGTCAATTTTCAAAATAGTACGCCCTGTGCAGACAACAATTTAACTGCATGGTAGAAGCACGTAAATCAAGGAAAATTGGCAACATCAACAAAATAGTTACCAAATCTGGCAGGCAAATGCTCTGCTTCTGAAACTCTTCTGGTGGGGCATAAAGCCACATGCAGGACCGACCAAAACAGCACTGCGGATGCAATGTCACATGGAGCCATGTGTGGTGGAATCAAGGCGTGAGTAATAAACCGTAGTGCAAAATCTAAAAGTTCCAAAGTAATTTGACAAAGAGTATGGATTTGAAACCATAGATCAGATGAATCGTTGATAAAAGTGAAGTTGTTAGCTGCCTTTTAAAAATGCTGCTGACTTACAGTAATGTTACCATGACAGCAAATCTGTTATTGCAAAGTTACTTGTTAGCTGTCAACTCGGTGAGGCAGCAGAGGAAGCCACCATGAATGATTAGAACATCATCATTGTCATCGTCATTAGTTTTTATTTGTTTCAACTAGACTTTTTGTAGTCTGTATTTAGTCTTCTATTAGTATTTGCTTTATGTAGTTTTTTTGTATTCATTTTAAATGCAGATCATTAAATGCAGACTTCAAAAGAGGACTCCCCTGAATTGAGTCACAGCTACTGATACTAATGTCATGGAACCATGTGACTGACCCTTAACCTTAGTATAGCATGACCACTGTTTTTCTCCTAAATCTTAACCAAAGTACTTTGATGGAGCTCAGTTGGTGAAATGGTTCTGAGAGACTTGGAAACAGTAGTTTGACAAAATTATCTTCACTCAAAGTCTTAAAAGGTGACGTAAGTATGGCCACAGACACGTAATGCCAAGATCAGACTACAAGATCAGCCTGAATGGTCTGACCCAGCAGGCCTCTTAGGAATGAAAATGGGTTTTAGACACAACAATTTCCCTGACATTGTGAAAGACAACTGACGCAGAATCTGAGACACCTCACAACATCCCAACAAAAATAAAACTTGCATGTCAGAATTTTATTGCCATCATTTTTTTGACAATTTCTACGACATGTTCAGTGACATTGACCAAAAAGTGCTCTTCAACTGTGAACATGAACAAGAGAAAGACTATGACCCTTGCATCAGAAGCAAGAAACCAAATTGACATCTGCTTCTGCGGGATGACTGGTTCCAGGTTCACTGTTGTCCATAAGACCCTAATTACATATAAGATTTTAGTGCTGATAAGGGTTAAATTAAGTTTAATATACTCTGCCACTTGGTCTGTGGCCCCTAACTTCCAAATATGATACTGTAGATATGCCTTTAGAATCATATCTGGATGTGCAAGGTTCTGCAGTAAATGGACTACTTATATAGCGCACACCACACTTTGTAGTCTTTCGACCACTCAGTGCGCTGTGCACTACATACCACACCCTCCCCATTCACACACATTCATACACTGATGGCAGTGGCTGCCATGCAAGGTGCCAACTGCTCACCAGAACGGAAACTAATCATTCATACACACTCAAACACCGATG